AAATTAAGGTGATTCCATCAAATTCATTTGATTTCTGAAACAATCTTTTTTGTAAACTTGAATTATTTTGGAGGCGCATTTATTTAACGCTCATATTATCTCAATATACACGATAACATTTCAAGCGCATATGTTTTGGAACTTCTAAAAAGTAATATATTTTCTTTAATATTTTCACTAATGTCGCCATGAAACAAAATTGATTGCATGGTGATCTTGACACCAACACTCAAACCTATTTTTACCGCTAAAGATTTCCATTTGGAAAAAATAAGTTTCAGCAGAACAGAACAACAACAAGCTAATTTATGGCGGTTGCTTTGAAGCCAATACAAATTAAATTGGCTTTATAACTGATTTTCACCAAAGCGTAATAAAACTGCTTGGATACAATATTACTCTTATAGAGGCTATGAGAACCTTTTGTAGAGTATGAGGCTTCCTGACAAAAGGTTTTAAGACAGCTTTATTGTGATTCTCAAACATGCTTTATAAACCTTATCAAGAGTGGTCCACTAAGCTGTATGACGATCTTATAGCGGTTATCAAAAGGTTGTGCTGGAGCTATTAATTTTATTGGCGGTTTTATGAAATTGATCTCAATAACCACTAATAGAGTGCAATAAAACAAGAAATGCTACTTGGGGGTGGTGCATCAGCTGAATTGGTGGACGTTTTTCCAGAAACTGCCCACCCGAAGTGTGTTTCGACCAGCAATGGTAGACCGTTTCCGAGTGTGGATTTCGTGGTAGCATTCCCCACCGATGATGATATCGATCATGCCCGGAATATTGAAGTGCGGATCGGCCAGTGGAACGCTTGGTAAGTTCCACGCAGCTGTGTTGATGGCGATAGTCGGAAGATTGGCAGATGGTTTCTTCATTACGAGAAATTCGAGTGTGGTGGAAAAAGTGTTCGGTTTCGATTTGATCGTAGCCGTGATTTGGCGTTTGATCTGCTTGATGGATTCTCCTAGTCCTGATACAGCAACGTCCACTGCAGTACGCTGCGTGACAAGAGCGTTTGCCAGCCGCTTGGTGATGAAGTTGGACATCGATGCAGAATCTAGGAGCGCTCGTACGGTGAATTCCTTGCCGTGTTGATCGACGACGATTACAACAACCGTTTCCAGTAGGACCGTGTTGTGGTTCGATTGGATAGCCATGCTAACTTCCGGTGGATGCGCTGATCCAGAGGTCCCCGCGTGCGCTGACGTGGATGGAGTTGGTTGTTGCATAGGAGGATTTGACGGTACGGCAGGAGTCGTCCTTTTCGGAACTGCGTCGTGCAGCGAGGTGTGATGCTGCAACTAAATTTGGATTTGCAGGCCCGCGCTTGATGACCAGAACGAAAGCAGTTCCAACACAAGCTTCGCTGGGTTACCAACTCTCGTCGTTGGGATACGGACAGCTTGTTGAATGTCGGACACTGGTGTAGTAGATGCTTCTCGTAACATGCAGGGCAATGAAGAGTGTTCGACTTGACTTCACTTGTAACAGCATTGACAACGGACTTGAATGTGGACAATTTCTTCGGGTTTGGACCGGCCACCTTGATGCTAGTCCCTTGAGAGCGATGTTGTAGATCACTTGATACAGACTTCAGCATTCGAACTTGCTGGATGAGGAATTCAATCAACTCATCGTAGCTTACGTCATCCTTCTGACGCGTTTCTTGTTCCCAAGAACGTAACGTAGATGCGTCGAGCTTATTGCCGAGGATGAAAGTGAGGGGAGTATTCCAGTGCTTGATTGGTTCACCGAGCTTTCCTAACGCTTTCACGTGCCGCTGGAATTCGTCGACCAATGTGTTTAGCTCCTGTGCTGATTCACGCTTGATTGGTGGTAGTTCGAACAGTCCTCGAAATAACTCCTTCCTCAGGAACCGCTTATTGTCGTAGCGCTTCATCAATGCGTCCCACGTAGACGCATAATTGTCTGCCTGAATGTCAACGCTTTCAAACGGCTTCTTTGCTTCTCCCTCCAACGATTGCAGCGGATATTGGAGTTTGTTGACGGTCGGAATGTCTTCGTTGCTGTGGATCATCGACAGAAAGTTGTCCCGGAAAGATAGCCATCTTGATTCATCCCCGCTGAACTTCGGCAGATCGATCTTCGGCAACCGATGGTGAAAACTCGATGCTGTGTGGTGAGCGAAGGTGTTGATCATCGTCGAATTTAATGGAGGCTGGCCGTTGTCCATCTTGGAGAGTAGAAATCCCTTCAGTACGCAGTACCGATTTTCGAATCCGGTGCGTACCTCGATGTGATCCTCGAACTGATCGATATCTAATTTCTCTATCTCCCCTTGGACCTGTTGAAACTCCTTGTTGACCTTGTCCAAGGTTTCCAACCGAACCGATACTTGGTTGACGTCCCGCTCATGGTTGTATTCCGCCACGAACCTTTCCACCACATCTCGTATCGCCAACACTCGCTTAAGGATCAGAATGTTTCCTTCCAGCTTCTTTTCCGCCTTGTTTGCCATCTTACTCACCACTCGAATCACGCGCGAGAACGGAAACGACACGTTTATCTCGTAATGATTGCTCCTTCCCGACGCGACGTGCCGTTTCTACACGAACCCAAACGAAAACAGCACAGAATCGAACGAATTTATCCTTCCCGGCGCGATGTACTGTTCAAACGCGATCAATACGACGGAAGTACCACGAAATTCGATCGATATAATCCTTCCCGTCACGTCGTGATACTTCTACGAACGCGAACGACCGAAAAGGACACGTGAAATCGATACGATCAATCCTTCCCGTCACGACGTGCCCTTTTTTACGATACGCGTGTCCGCTAAAACGCCACAAATATCCATGTGCCTTGGACGGATTGATCATTCACCGTTTTATGTTGTTGATTTCCACCACCCAGTACGGTGTACTAATTTCAATGCGCGCCACTGTATGCGCAAGTGCAATTAATAAAACAGGCAATCAATTTACCAATCAGCCACCAACGATAATCAATTTGCAAAAAATCGTTAATTATGCCGCCTCTGCTTAGCAATTCCACCGTACTAATTATGTTCACCTTGTATGCGCTTCGATCAATCGGATCGGTCATGCGATGTTGTCATGCAATATTCGATTATGCCGCCATTCCTTGTCTCCTTATATTGGCGCGAAATATTGGCGTTGGCCGTGCGTGAAAAGGCCCAAACTTCTCCACAGAGAATGAATAGAGTGAATGGCCTACCTTTGTGTGGTCACTGCCTTTGACCACTTACCGCGATGGCGCTAACTTGCCTACGACGCTGATTCCTGGCTTGGGTATGTCCTCCGATCCGGCTCGAAGGACCAATGTTCGAGCAGTGGGCTCTGTATTTGCCGGGATTCGGAGGTGTTTCTTTCCGTTCGGCCTTCGAACGGCGCACAGAAACCACTGAGGAAGTTGGCACGCTGAAACACTGCTAATGTTCCACCTTCACGTACGTACACGACCGTTGGCTATCTTTCGGACATACAAAAAGTTCAATTTACACTTTGACTGATTTACTGTTACCGACGGATGGATAGCGAGACACAATAGGTAGTCGACAAATCAGAAACGACCGGCTTTGGGATGTTGCGAACGGTTCCGCGGTATATTTGCTACTGATCTACAATGTCCCTATACACATTTCTGGTGTGTGGTCAAGTGCAATTGAGTGACCACTGGATTGAACAATCTCTCTCGCGTGAGAATTGACGATCCTCATTAGGGTGGGTCATATTTGTTGTTGTTAGTCGCATTGGATCGATTTAGTTTTAATTTCAATGGTTTAAGGATTTAGCTTTAGTTTTATACTTATGATTAGGATTACGTATTTACAATATTTACAACACTAAAGATTTTATTATAATCAGTGGCTACTGATCAATAAATTCGGTGGATAAATTCGGGTTTTTTATAGCAAGTGAATGAAAGCAACCCTGATTCCTACTGAAATAAGTTAAATACAATTAACCATAACTGTTCAGTGACAAGAGTGCTGCTAGGGTGTGGACCGTTTACAGTATCCAAACACAATATACAAATTCATGCATTGGTATTGGCATCGAAAGCTCTCAATTAATAACTGTGGAAGTGCATTTTAAACACTAAGTTGAGAGCACGCAATAAGCTAATATGCGCTAAGCAATAAGCTTGAAATGCGAACAAGAAGAAGAAGAAGCCTATGATGCGGATGCGAAAATATATGTTAATATTAACATTCAATTTACGGGAGGTAAATCACTAAGCTGTCGACGGATTTGATTCCTGGATTCGGTCAACATAAAAAGCAAAGGTTGGTTAGTGATGGAAGCTCTCGGATAAGAAATTTAGGTTAGTTGAAAGCAGTCTTTGGTTTCAGCTTAACACCACAGCTAAATCCTAATCAAAAATGACAAGTTCCTTCACACTTCTTCTGCTTCTAGGCTTTTACGCTTCTGTATCGAGCGTTTTGCCGACTAACAACTTAGTGTTTTATTAAATGCACTTCCGCAGCTATTAATTGAGAGCTTTCTATTTTGCACACTGTGTGGCAAGCACAATAACACTCTATGCTCAGGGAAATCGAAAAAATGTCCAACCCGAAAGATTCCCTCGACCGGACCGGGAATCGATCCCGCCCTGTAACACCGTGCCTTTACTGAATAGGCGATCTGAGGCCCCTTCCTCCACGCTCCAGCTAGGTTTCTCACACCGGCGGCGGTAGTCCCATCGTGAGGCTATTTAGCACGTTTGTGGCAAGTCACTTAACTACCCGCTCACTGGCTAATTCATGGCTGTTTCCAGTTCTAGCGGTTGAGATAAGCAGCCTGTGCGATACAGCGAGCCCACTCAAACACTACACACAATACAATCCGCGCGAAAAAAAAGGATTGAAAATACGTCGAATAACGATTGCTGATTGCCTATATACAGACAGCCACACACAACCGATCACCACCGACGACGACGACATGTAAGCGCCGAAAAATGAGCAGAACCCGTCGAGTCAGTCAGATTAATTCCAACCTCCGATCGGGCGGGACAGAGAGCTGCAATCTCTCGCGTGTAGTCGAGCAGCAGTTGGCAGAACTCGAACTGCAACGGCGACGGTGCATTATTCAACATTCTTGCTACAGAATGCTGCAGAACGTGTGGAATTGCGTCTAATAATAGTGTAACTCTAACCCGGATTATCAGCTATGTCGGTCGTGTAACGAGTGTGTGCATCAATTACATGCAAGTGTCAATTGCTTGAAGAAACTCCAGCTCATTGTTCAACGGGAAAAAAAAGCACTTACGTCTACTACAAGTAAATAAGTAGTGGGTTAACGTGCATTGTGGTTATCAATATCCGAAACGCGTCATCGTTCCAAGGGTTCATGTGTGTGTGTGTGAATTTAGGTGATAATAAAGTGAAGAGCACAGTCGCAGGCAAGCACGTGTTTTGAAATCATAAACCCAATCGAAGGGCGGGTTACTCGACTGGATGTACGAACTTGTGTGAAGTTATAGCTGCTTGCCGGCGAGTGTGTGGCATTATAGCCGGCTTCGTTTGTTATCAGTATCCAGTCGGTGCTGGTTGGTTTATCGGCAAATTGCGTTTGCCGAACCATATGCGAGCGGAAAGGAACAGTGTTGTCAGTTGGTTGTGTAAAATAGCAGTCATAGCTGGAGTGTCTAAAGCCTCTTCAAAGCTTAGGCCTAACTAAAGCCGCATGATGTCTTTCGATATTGACCTTTGATAGTTGTCTCACATCGTCATGTGTTCGTCGTCGTCGTCGTCTTGTGAGGCTTATGGACATGGTAGAAAAAATATAGCCATCAAGTTGCTTGTTAGTCAACAAGTGTGTGGTGTGGTCGGTCGTAGAAGCCACGCTAAATTAAACGCTGTCGTGATACCTCGGTAGCTGATGGTAATGAAATTTGTGGTTGAAGCCAAAGAGCACAGTATCAGTTACGACGGCATGGATGTGGCCAAGCGGTGCAGTGCATAATGTAACATTGTGGCTACATCCTTACCTCTCCACAAATGTGGGAGCATCTTGTGTATTTTAATTGTGTAATGTGATAGCTAGAAGTAGCATGTTTTAGATGAACTTATCTGAAGTGCTACATAAGTTATAGCAGAAGAAATTAATCAACTTCGATACAGAGAAACGTTTGTTTCTAAAATCCGAAGCTTTTCGAAACATCGCAAATCAAACCAGTTTCAACGGAATTTTACCATTTATTATAATAAATGAACCATAAGGACTGTTCAAGTAATAAAACGGACACACACTTTCAGCCCACGTCGGAGACGAACCAGCCCAGGGCTGAAAGTCTCCTTAATAAAGATATAAAAAAAATAATAATTTCAGCTCCAACTTAGTAATTTGATTGCTTAGCTTAAAGCTTTCTTCACCAAGTTTTAAGCTTTACTTATAGGCATCATATAAAAAATAAACACTTTATGTTAAGCAGCATGTAATTTTTACGAAATTTTAAATCACATGTGCTCTAAAATGCAATTTTTATACTCATGTCAGTATAACTTGAACACCAGGATAAATTTTGCAACTGTGTCAAGCCAGATATTTTTTATTTCAGTTCTTCTAAAAGATGCTAGCCACAAAATCTTTCACCCCCTCCTCCCTTAGAGCGTGACATAATATATGCATCACCCCTTACAGGGACTAAGAATTTAAATTTCATTATTTGTGCTGTGTAAAATATTTACTGGAATCGGAAAAGAGGAGGACTGAACAGTATGAGTACTGAGTATCGATAAGTATTTAAGATGGTATTTTAGGTGTTAGCCTTAGTTTCTCACCGCGTTTCAAACAACCGTACTGTCTAATTTCTCAAAATTTCACTTCCTCTCTCGCGAGATACAACTATTCGCTTTTACATCCCTGATCAGGAGACGCGTAGACTGAACCCATTGCTGATTCGTTCTTTTCTCATCTTCCTACCGAACGAGAGCTATTCAGTGTTACCACATTTTTTTCCAATTTCAATCTGCATTTTCACCGTAAAAAATCTTTTTTATCTATATCTGGCTGACAAAAATCTGTAAAACATTCTTATAGTTTCCTCATTATGATCTTAGTGCACATCACTGTTGTAAAAATATCAAAAAATCAAATATCACCAACAAGCAATACGAAACTAACGATTTTAAATTGGCTCACTACTTGACTAGCCTATTGGTCCCAAGCAAACGATTAACGTACCCCATTCTAGTCGAAATTCTAGTACTACACAATGTTTGTTTTGATTCGCTATGAAAGTTTGACAGATAAAATGAGGAGTTAGTGGATTTTCCTATGTTTCGAGGGGTGAATCGATTAGCTTGGGACCGAAGAGAGTACCAGAGCTAAGCCAAAAAGTTGAGCACGTTATTTCGGGACCTTCTATTCTTATAGTTACCTCTATGACACAACTGTGGTTGATATTGCAAGCTGTGATGTCGCAGCTCGCAATATCAAGCTTACAAAACTCACCAACTGCAAATATCTCCAAACTGTGGTGAGATTGAGTTTCATGATTTTAGCTTTACACCCGAATGCAACCGAAACTTCCATAACGTGTCTTCCACCGGTGAATATAAAAAAGAGATAGCATTATTATACCTTCTCTTTCCGAGAAAACGAGGTGCATCGGAATCATTTTTGCGTGGATTCAACTCTCAGCATTAATCGAGGCTTCAACTTTACACGTTGTGAATAGTCTCGCAATATCAAAGGAGCTTGTAAAATCAACATCAAACATTATATTTTGCTCCCATATCACGCGTGACATAGAGAGCGGAAAAATATCAATTTGCTAATGATCATGCCACAGACAAACAGACATAACACATTGAATATTTCTCACTGTAAAACATCGTCACTAAAACATTACCGCCATCTGTTGAGTACACTGTGGTGGGTAGTACGCTAAACAGATGGCGGTAGTGTGTATGCGTCAAACGTATGGGAATTGAATATGCGCGCCACAGATGGCGGTACTACCAACTATGATACTTTCAAATTGACCGTTAAATGCTTGTTCGATGAACAACTTGCGAGTGTTATGTCTGTTTGTCTGTGATCATGCCATCACTGGTGCGGATCTTCGTGAATCTCCTTTGAGTTCATTCAAAGTTCAGAAAGAGTTTGTTCAAAGTTTATAATCTTGAAAAATGATTTAAGATTGCTTTCTAAAGACTTGATCTGTATCTTTTCAACAAAGCTAAAAATACAGAAAATAAGTCCCAGTAGTGAGAGACCAACCTGAAAATTTCTTTTATGAAGTAATAATCACATTTTCCTAGAATTTGAATTTGGTATGTCCGCAATTACGTAAATCTTTGCCTGGTAATTTTCTTTCAACTCAACAATTTGAGAAAATGAAAAATCGAGCATTAAAAGTTTATAAAGCATTACTTGTTAAATTTTAATGATCGATATTTTATTTTCTCAAATTCTTCTAATCAAATCATATATATATCAAATATCCACTTTACTTTGGGGTGAGTTGTTAAAACGGCTGGTTAACCAATTCCACAAATCAAAAAAAATGAATTAACCATAGTACCGGTCACCATGTGATATGGTTCATTTAACAAAAGATAGGAAAACTAACAGAACATCTGAACAGCATAAGTCCGTTGAAAATTAGTGATTGTAGGCCAAACTGCCACCCGTACAAAATGGTTCGGTGTTTTAACATGGCCGCCATAAAGTAAGGATATGTTTGGAATGGGATCGACGTTAGAGAGGGTCTAGTGTAAGAGAAGAGTAGATTCATGCCTAAGTTATTTGCAATCAAGATAGGCACTGCTCGATTGTCTCTGGCTTTGGCAGTTCGTTTGTCTCAAAACCAGCCAATCTGCTCCTCTCTTATACTAGAGCCTCTCTAATCGACGTGTAGAAGCAAGAAATTTATGTCTAACGTCGGTTTGGAATTGAAGATGGCTACATCTGGTTCACGAAACAACGTCATATCCCAAGTAAACACTAAGCACTTATAGGTTGCACTCTTTCAGCATTACATGCCAATATAATTTCGTTCATTTAGAGCCGACTAACTTTATAAAATTTCGCAGAAATAATTGGCCAGTAAAAGCTTGTGCTAATTATTGAAATAGCTTTAGAGAATGCTGATATTACGCACGGAGTGAAACGTCAAACTGAGCATAAGATTGCATGCTTTGTTTTATCGATATGAAATGTACCAGATGAAAACAAAAATATTGATGACTCTCTCCATCTCTTTCACTCATACGCATACTGCTGTGTTGGGCTAGTATAGAATTTTTTAATGTTTTTGATTTTAAGACTCGAACAGAGGACCAAAGTTTAATGATTTGACAAGCGTTTTTATTATCGCTGCTTTCCTCCTCCCTTCCTTTCATTGGTGAAATGGTGAGCGATCAACCGAGCTTTGAGCTCGATCTTGTGAGCATGCGCAATGTGTTTGTTCGGTTTGCGATCTATCGTTGCGTCCGTGTTTGGGATGTTTCGTTACATGCCTGAATTTTGTTTGTTTTTTTTATGTGATCCCTATTATAGAAATTAAAGACGTAGTCCTACGTCAAAAAACTTCGGCTTGTACTGATTCTGTGATGGGGTCTTCCAAAGAAATTTTAAATATTGTTGTTTTGGTTGATTAATGAGCTTGACCAATATCTATTGGTATATCATATCAAATCATCTTACCAAGGTTTTGTACAAAAAAAAATGATTCTATAAAATGTAGTTTGTTTGATACAGTATGCTTTATGAGCTAACATAGCATTTTTCGTAAGATCCCTAGCAACATTGCAAGTTTTGTCGAGATTTTAAAGCATTCTACAAGTCTTTATCCTATGGTTTACGTTTCCTTCTAGCATAATTCACAAATTCCCGAGACATTTATGAGGGGTCGTAGAGTTCTCTGCATCTCTGTTAAGTAAATGTTGGACTAACACACCTTTCCTATCCCTACCAGTTGTAAGGACGTGGCCAGGACAATCCTTAACTGTTGGAGCGGGATAGGTCTTTATCTGGGAGATAGTGATTATTTCCTACCTACTATCTGTCCAGTAATAGATATCCGTCTTGCTCCTAATAGTTTTGAATTCGTACCATTGTGCAACTTGTTCAATGCTAATGCTAATACTTATTTTAAAGCTTTCTACAAGTCTAAATCATTGTCTACAGAACACTTATAAAACCATAAATGTTACGTTCAATGAAAGTGTGTTGTTACTTCGTACGTGAAGTTTGAGATTTTCAGAGTTGGTTCGAAATGCTATCTAATATGAAGTTAGTGGTGATAATTTATTTGCTAGAGAAAGGCCTGAAGAGGGCAGGTTGATAGATCCGCTAGAGTATGGCAGTATAAAAATTGAATAGAAGGTGAAAATAAGCGAAGGATTTTAAATTGGCTCACTACTTGACTAGCCTAGTGGTCCCAAGTACATCTATAAGTGTACTCCATTCTAGTAGTACACTATGTTTGTTTTGATTCGCTATAAAAATGTGAAACATAAAAATTAAGGGGTTTTTTGTTTGCTGTTGTCTGATGACGGCTAAGACCATGGTTGGTCCATCTTGCCAAAATTAGGGGTTCGTGGATTTTCCTATGTTTCGAGGGGTGCATCGATTGGGACCGAAGATTGTACCAGAGCAGAGCCAAACAGTTGAGCACGTTTCTTCGGGACCTACTGGTCTTAGAGTTACCTCTATGGTACTAGTCAAACACACACTCCTTTACCTAACTCATACATGAGGATGAGGAGACTTCAAGTATTTCTTCAAATCTACAGGCAAAAGAGTGCGCGTTCGACATGCTCATATACTGTCTGCGACTATGGAATAGTTCTAGCGAAGTTTATCACTACTTAAAGCCCCACGTTGCCGCAAGCATTTCCAGGCGATGATGTGTGATTATGTAATTCTTCTTTACCCAACTATTGTTTGACTTCTTTCGTCATGACCAACGTAGTCATCTCAGAGAGAAGCGCAGTAGGGTGGTGTTGCATGCTGTACCATCATCAGCATTTTTGACGGGTTTTTCCCTCTGTTCGGGACCTAACACCAGTAATTTGATCTATTGTAGTATATCCCGAGTCCTTAGTTTAGTGCATGTCGTATTACTCCATCACTATTAGTTGGTTGGTTGGTTGGTTGTCTTTGTTAAGGAGATTTTCAGCCAGACGCTGGTTCATCTCCGCCATCACTATTGAGAAATGATGAAGTATTCGATTTTTTTACTGTTGCCATTCTCGCATTTATCGCAAGGATCCGACTCTTATTGAAAGGTCTCGCTATTTATACCCTTCGGAGTGCTGAAACACCCTCCAAAGGGGGGGCACTTTGTCAGTCAAAATTGGATTCCTTAGCAACAAAATTTAGGAATGACACTGATAATGACCATGCATCAGAACCCAAGTCTTAACAACTTTAAACTAGATAACAACGAATAGAAGATTAGGAATCACATAGATGAAGACTAACTAACTCATTTTTTCCTTGCTTCAAGATCATCCTCGGTGGACAAAGCCGAGTCTTGTCACTATCAACAAGGCATAAAAAATAACAAGGACTAAGATGTGTTCCTTGGATTACTGAAAAATCCTGCTCCCCTAGTTTGAAGTAGTCAGGACTAGGAATCGGTGGTAGATCTTACATCCCGTAACGTACCACGAGAAGGTGATCTACCCACGTTACGGGGCATTGTTGACCATTACGCCCGCCTTGAGTTATTACATTCAAACAAAGTGTGTTGTTATTTGGGATGCTTTACATCTTTTAAAAGAAACCGAAACTTATTTGTGAACACTGTACAACATGTATAGTAGGACGTTGGGCCTGAAAAACCAGGAAAATTTGTGATTGGAGCGTAGACATACAACAATTTCCGTTTAAAGAACACTTTTTTTACTATAGGATAAAGATAAGCTAGATTGTGTATTTATTTCCTCGCTTTGACAACACCATATATCTGACAACACTTCTGATAAGAAAGACATAAACATTCTCAAAGCGCGCGCCTCATCGATGGGTGGGGTACTGTGGATATCGAAAATCATAAATTTCAAACCAGGTGTTCAAATTAGCTCGGCTTAACCTTCATCTGGTGGTTCTTTTGTAAACTTACATTCAAAGACTCTCCGCTCAAAGGGAACCACGTTTGCGAGCTACAAAAAAAAAAGCTGAAAAGTCACTCTCCTTCAACTCACAGATGTTTCACCAATCCATGATCATGGTAGGACCGAATTTCAAAGGCACCATATAGTGTAACAACAGTTCTTTTTATTGTTATAATAATTTGAAGGTTAATCACACTGCGCAAGAAGCAAAAAAAGTACAGAGAACGGTGTTTATTGTTAACTATTTACTGTGGCGAACAGTGAGAAGCAACGAAAAGCGAAATCCAGCTGAATAACGAAATTTTCTTCTGCAGTCGTTTAGCACAAAAGCAATCATCCTAGTGCGTGGGCAAGAGATTCGAAAGCGAAAGCAAACAAAAATAAGTGATAAGAAGTGCCAAGCAAATTGCCAAAAAAAAAATACGAAGAGAGTGATTAAATTAAGGTTTGCGAAAATCTTCTTCGTTCTTCTCGCTGCCTGATAGTGAAGAAGAATAGTGACGGTGCAAAACAAGTCTGAATACACCGAATAGCTTCCACACAGCCGTGCTTCCAAAATGACCCTGCCAGACACACTAAATCCCGGCCCGGAGGTCGTCGATCAGCTGCGGCAACTGTTCAAGCAAAGATTGGAGAAAGATGCGGCGAAAATTCCCTGTAAGTACAAAATAGAACGGAGCGTATTATTTAGTGGCCGGTGCTATATGATGCAAGCGCATGTATTAGGGTGGGTTACAGCTAACATTTAAAAAGAGCGGAAGAGCCTAAATGTAAACAAACCAAATTTGCCACATACAGAGAGAACAGTTTACTAACTATTGAACAAACACGAAAAAGTAAAAGAAAACATCGTTCCAAATCATAAAAAATCCTTCTAAGGGAAATGGACCTAAGATTGGGCCCATCGCTAAAAATCTGCTATTTATCAATTTTATCTAGATGAACGCGTCATTGGAACGGTACTAATGGATATTTTTGGTTGCTATTGAAAATTTAGTCGATTGCTGAATTTATGTATGGGCCCAAATTAGAGGCATTAAGACCGACATTACATCCATTTCCCCTATGTGGCGTATATCCAAATGTCAACTCAATGATGCATCGGGTTGTTAACCTTGTATGTATGTATGTAAGGTAGCCACCATTTCTTCAAAGATCTTGTCTTGTATGCAGCTCCACTTAATAGCAAGATCAATTTGAGCTACCGATCTGAATTCACAATATCGCTGTTTGAAGGGCCAAAAACGGGGGGGTGGACCCGTAAGCAGAGACACTTACGCGAAATCCACGGGAATTTGAGAATCTCCTTCCAACGATACGATCCAACAAATCGAATAACGCAATTCGTAATACTTATTAAGCTTTCTACAGGATGGTTTGTTAAGAAGGGTGCGTCAATCTCACTGAAACTGTTGGAGTAGAATTTACACCACCACAATCGAATCGGTAGGATAAAGAAAATGATAGTGTTTATTCCCTCCTAGACTCCGGTTGTCATACCACTCCATCGTCCAGTTTCAGGTCAAATGATACCCTGATGCTCCCACCCAACCCAGTATTTATTTATATAATGTAAATATATGTAATGGTGAAATGAAGTATATCGGAACATTAAAATATGAAATGTAGGGAATACAATTAAATGGATGCAATAAAAATTATAAATATTGTACACATAATAAGATGCACCTCTATGTCTCCTCTGCTTACAATGGTAGGTGGATGTAACACTGAAATGTTAAGGTTATAGTAATAATAGCAAGTAAATATGTTTAGCTCGAAGGATACTTACTATTCTCTTTTTAGAGTAATTGAAAAAGAGTGATGAATAACTAACAGGACTAACAATAAAATTGAAATTGAATCTCATCTAAATGATGTCATGCATGACGAGAAACAAAACCTGAAAAATAATTATTTATGTATGTAAGTTATCCACTATCCCTTCCGATCTAAATTCACAAGAATAATAAAATAATTATCAAGCTAAAATTAAACGATCCATAAAATATTATGAGAAGTGCGCAACATAATAAGAAATACAATGAGATATATATGTTAAATTGTATAGTTTTGCTTTGAGTAAAATATAAAATAATCAACGTACTGCAATTCGTCAGGTGAATTCTTTTATTAAATGATTTCTACATGATTTTTTATAGGAAGGGTTTTTGTAGCGAGATACCTTTTAACGAATGTTCATTGCTTCAATTAAGTGTACAGCTACAGTACCCGTTCGATCCTGACATGGTTAGATTTTGGCCACACAAATTTATTGGGTTTGTTGCCAAAATCGACCGGGTACCGTACTATAATCGATGGGAACCAATTGATAAGATAATGTAGAATAATTTAGTCATGAGCTGAAAAATAAAATGAAAAAAATATGATATGGCAATGTTGCTATCCCATCAATAAGAAAATGAGATAAAATAATATGTCATGAAATATATGACCAACAAACATATTGAATAGTAAAATCTTATATAGTTTGAAACGTAATTATTCTCTGTTGATTTATGCAACCATCTTCCCCTGCACTGTTATATAAAACATTTTATAATCATTATATAACTGTCGAATCTCTCGCTAGTAAAGATACATCGATACTTGTCCCCGGCAACAACAAAATTAACTTTTCTGAAATATTAATATAGGGGAATTTACGTATTCTCGGCAACCTAAGCAGCGACCTTCTTTCTATAGCCTTTTTCTCTGAAGAACGCACACATATGCAGTATTGGTTTGTTTACAATCTTTTGCTGCCAGCTGCTCTAACAATTTCAGTCGAAAGAATTGTCAAAAACTGTTTTGAAACGCTTTTACAAAGCTCCAATCTTCTCTAGTGAGAGCGAGTATTGTCGGCAACCAGTTTTTTTTCGGCAACCGTTCCAATTGAACTGCATGTAAATCTGCTGTTCTATTATCGGCAACTCGAAATCAGCTACAATTTGTAGTGCGTGTGTTTCATTTCAAGAAAACCCTGCTAGATTGCTTTTTCTCAGTGGTAAAAATATAGTCAATTGAAGCTGAAAGCATAAAGAATCGTTTGCATGCATTAGCGAAGTGTTTTCGTAAGAAAATCCAGTGAAAATAGTGTTTCAATTTGGGTTGCCGAAAATAGTCTGGCATGCCGAAGCCGTTATTTCCCCTAGCATTTTTCCACATTTCCTCAGCCAGACACTTTTAGGAAAACTCCCTTCAACCCAAGATTCAGACCTCAATTCTAGACTAGACTAGAGATACTAGACAGTTAAGCTACCAAAACGAGATACCCGCTGCAATATTGAAAAGGATTATGATGTAAGATTAGCCTATTTTAAAATTATTAATTTTAATCTTGATTAAGGATTAATTATATAATAAAATAGAAAAAGAACATACATTAAATTAGTTATGTTAGCATCTGCTGCAATGTGGAACAGTAGTAGTGTACCCGTTCGATTCTTGTAACAAGCCTGAAAATTTAGTGTTAATAAAATCTAACGGTTCTATTTTGAAACATAATTTATGATTTCGTTGATTTTTGACTGCCGTTAGTTATCTTTATGACATAAAAGTTATTACAATGTTATTACAATGAGCAAAAATACATTACACGGTTACGGATACACGGTTAGAAAAAAGTACCCAAAATTAAGTTCTTTTCACTCATCTCGGCACTATAGTGCAGGAACCCAAAAGTAGGTAAAGCTGGTCAAAGTAATTTTCATTTACTTGTGTGCAGTTCGTATGGAATTTTCCACTGGCTTTTTAACCAAAAGTAAGTTAGTTGTACCCAACAGTAGGCAAATATGGTTATACTCAACGTTGGGTTCCCACACTTTACTACCCCTGTTGGGTGGTTTTACTCCTCCGTTTTTGACAACATTAGAAGGAGAAAAGGAGACAAACTAGTCAAAAGTAGGTAAAAGTGAACTTTCCGTTGGATACTTTTTTCTTACCGTGTATAAGAAAAACCCACCAAAAATAAAAATAGACAACAACATACACGGCAAATGAATCCGACTCATATCCGAGCCCATGCAAACTCGCAAAAGCGCAGGTCATCCACAGAATGAGTTAATCTCCAATCAAATATGAGTAAATATCTCCCATTAATACCCGAGCAGAGATCCACCTTATCCACACCTCCTCGAACCCAGTGAACGGGACGCAAACATGAGCCAAATTCACTTGCCGTACACCCTGCAACCCGCGTCACTGAGTATTATTCAACGGCAGTGTATGTGAATCGCTCTTTCGAAAAAGCATTAGTTCACCCATAGGCAGATAGCTTAACGACATTTAAAGAAGAATATACTTGAAGCAGCTTACGATGAGCAGACAAAATGAAGGATGGACAATGTTGTCAGCTGAAACCGAATCGATCATAAATTGCTAGCATGTGGAACAAATAAATCGGTTAAAATAGCTTAATTTAGCAAACCAGTCATTCTTACTGAAAAATAAGTTATTTAAATGGACAATTGGTATACAATAATTTCAATAAATATCAGTGAGTGAAGAATATTTCAATGATTTTTTCAATGAATTGAATTAACAAAAAACTTATCTTCTGTAATCCTCCGGTGTTCTGGCATCCCAGTAACAAAAACTCAGGTATGATGATATTTTGAATGCAAGATTCAGCAGGTCGTAGCTTTGGTTTGCAGAAAACTATCACTCACACCACAAACCTATTTGCCTCGGACACCATTTTGTTCGTTGCTTTGTCATCTTCTGACCAATTTATCGTTTAACGGGCATTAAAAAAATTACAACACTTGGTGCTCCAATCACCATTTCAATTTTGTTTTCCTTTGTTAAAACTGAGGTCTCAACCACCGCTAAATAAAAAAACTTTCCTCATTACGGAATGAAATCATTTTCTACAAAACACTTTATGCACTACACATTGACTCTCGTTGCACGAATCAACACAAACAACCGCTCAACACGCCATCCTGAAGAAAACTGATGATGCATCGGGTTGTTAACCTTTGCATCAAAACTACGAAGTACAGTGCTTTCTCGATTTTGTCAGTCCCTTCGCAAATTTTAGGCTGACAAAAACGGGAAAATTACAAATTCGACTTTAAAGACATCGGCGTTACGGATGAAGCTGACGATTTTTGGACAAAGATTGTTGAGCTGCGGAAAAACGATGATAATTTCTTATTTCCATTTCTTCGGCGGCTACTGAAGGCGATTCTTGAATAACCGCATTCTTCCGCGTCGGCTGAACGAATATTTTCAGCCCAAAACCTCAACAAAACTTAAACACGAAACAGATTATCAAACAAAACGCTGGTTGGAATATTAAGAACAAAGAATTGGCTGAAAATATTTTGAACTTCTAGCTCAGTTTCAATCCCAGTAGACATGCAAAGCAAGCTCAACTCTGCAATGTATGTCACTAATTCACAAAAAAACGAAGACGAGGAAGAAGATTTCAGTTATTTTCTGCAGATTTTAAGCAAAGTTTAATTTGTTATTGTTTGATATGGTAAGTTATCCTAAAATCATTTTAAAACACCTAAATGTAACAAAAATGATAAAATACACAAATATATCTCAAACAACTGTCTGATTCACCAAGTATTTTTATATTTCTTAAATGAAGTAATAAAATTGGGTTGTTAGCGCAATGCTTTAAATAAAACAGCAAAAAAGGT